CCAATAACTCTGAGTCAGAATGAGAAACAGGATCTGAGGAGGGAGAAAGAAGCCGTTTCTCTGGAGCTCAGAGGCAGGCAGACACAGCCAGGTGAGTCAGCACAAACCGCACACCGGGACCTCCTGGGGGAGCCGTGATCCCTGCAGGGGTGCTGGGGGGGGACCATATGTCGGCATGCTCTTAAGCAGAGCCACATGGCTTCAGTTAAGCTCAGCCAATCACACGCCACATGCTGGCTCAGAGCCCACAGGAGCTCAGACTGCGCACAGCCTTCCTCCAAACTAAACTGGGCTCAATAGTTGGTTTGTAATTCTAAGATGAATTCTAAGGCCTGGCAGCAGCCAGAGAAGCTGGACTGGTGGAGCCAGCAGTCGTAGGAACTGTCCAGCTGTCCTCTGTCCCCTGCCGGAGTCCCAACAATAACTGTGTGACCTCATGACTCATTCATGGACCTCACCCTGAAGATCTGAAGCAGTGTTTTCCGGTCCTGATTCACCCTGAAAGAAGATTTTGATCTTATTCTGTTGGTCCTATCCTCATGCATTCGTACGCAAGTGTTTCCACACAAAGGAGGCTTCCTGTTGACAGCCAAAAAACCCTTACAACAACATTTCTAATTCAATGCTGTTTGTGCTCCGGTGTTAGAAAGAAAATGTGTCCATGTGAAAGGAAAGCACATGTATGAAGGCGGTATGGAGGGAAGCATGTATGTCAAATGAAGCATCCCTGAAAAGACACACGCGGTATGATTTAAGCTTTTGTGCACGCTTCACAGAGCTATAAGGCATTAATCAGCATTAGTCTGCTTTTGTACCAAACAGGACTTTGGTTTCAGCTGCAGCCACTCAAACACCAGACGGGTTCTACTCAGGTGATTTATTGTGCAGGTTAAATGACTTCTCTCAGCTAGTCGTATAGTTTGTAAAGGTAAAAAAAACAAATGCAGTTTAGACACAATGCAAATAAAAATGCATATTTCTTGAAATGTTCACTGTAGCTTGTTTAAAACTGCAGGTAGGTCACCTAATCTGCTCTCATCTGCTTTGACAGCGCGCTTAGTAACACAAAGGTCCGGCTGAGCCTCTCTCAGGAGTCCTGCTTCTGCCCCCTGTTCCGGCCAGAAAAGCCAGACTGCTTCAGATGGGTGGTCCCGTCTGAAAACTGAAATCAGTCTCCGCAGAAACAAGCCAGTCAAAAGAAAATACTGTTCATCCCTCTGCACACGAGCCGTTAGAACCAATGCAGTGAAATGATGGACAGAGGACCCAGACAGCCCCCAGTGCTCCTGGCCCCGTGGGGGGGGGGGGCTCACAAAGTCCTGTGAGGAGCAGAGCCAACGCACGCTGATTTCCAAACTGCCCGGGACTAAAACTAATCCTTCCACCTCGCTCCCACCTTTCTCCCACATATGGCAGTAAAACACCATGCCATCGCTGTGGGGGGGGGCAGACACGGATCCTTTAAGCACAAACACAGTCTGGGTACGCTACGTCTGAGGTCTCAGATAAATGCTCAGTCTGCTGGTTCAAAGTAGTAAAGTGCCACGCGTCTGGAGGGGGGGGGAGGGCCGGGGGGGGGGGCTGGCGGCGGCGGCCTCGTCGTTGCTGCTGTCCACCTCCTGCTCCATGGGGCTGTCCTCCTCCAGCTGCTGGCTGGTGTAGTTGGTGATCTCCAGGAAGCCGCTGGGCTCCACCACCACGTTGGACTGGCTGGAGTCCGGCAGGATGGAGTACTGAGGGATCACCTGCAGGGGCGGGAGGGAGGGGGTCAGTTCAGCAGCCCCCAGCAGCCCCCAGTGAGCTCACACTCACACACACACACACACAACGCTGGAGCTCTGCATAGAGGTGAACGGGATCAGTCTAGAACCCCCTTTTAATTGCTGTTTTTTGAAAATGCAAATCCCCCATTATTCTTTTTTTTTACTATTCAATTCTACTTATACTGTCCAGGGTGACCCCGCCTCTCCCCAATGACCACTGGGATAGGCTCCAGTTCTCTCCACCACCCCATTAGGGAATAAGCGGTGACGATATGGATGGATGGAATTCTACTTATCACAACTAAGAGTGGAAACAGCCTTTGTGAGAGAAGACAAACAGAAAATTCCCTTTAGCTAGATGCTAAGCATTACAGAGATCATTTCTAGAAATGTCCACCCTTCAAAAATAAACATTCCCATGGGTGTTTTATTGCTTTGGGGTCTTTTAGAAAAGCTGCTATTTTAGATGGGTCTGCTGACCAGGGTGACTCTCACCAAAGACTGGTTCTGGTTCTGTTCTGGTTCAGCTGGGACTCCTTTGACCTGGACAGCGTGGTAACTGGAGGCCTACCTCGATGACCTCCAGGTCTTCCTTGCTCCTCTGAGCGGTCAGGCCCTGCATGCGGCCGAACGGCTGCGACTTTGGGAGAAGCCGGCTGGCTTCGGAGCTGCTGATGAACTGGCCCGCGTCCAGGGTGCCGGACCTGGCCTGGACCTGCAGGCCCTTCCCCCGGGGGCTGCAGTCGCTGGAGGAGTCCACCACCATGGGGTCGATCTCTGCCTCCATCATGGAGATCTTCAGGATGTCGGACACCGAGGGCTTGGCGGCGGGGGGGGCGGCGCCGGCCTCGGGGCTGGGCTTGGCGGCGGCCTCGGCGCTGCTGAAGGCCGGGGGGGGGTGGTGGGAGCTGCCAAAGGTGATCTTGGTGAGGGTGGCGCTCTGCGTGATGATGGGCTGCTGTGGAACAGGAGCAGTTAGAGCACATCAGCGGCCGGTCAGGGAGCAGAGCGCTGACCGGCCGCCGCTCACCTGACCGGGAGAGCTCTTCTCCGCGCCGATGGGGTGGTGCGCCTGCAGGGGGGGGGG